GGAGGGGGAGGGCGGCGCGGGAACGCGTTTGGGGTGGCGATTGGGATGTGGGGCGCCGGGGGCGCGGCTGCAGAGCCTGCCTGCTCGTTTCTCGCTGCGGCTGACACAACGCACAACGCACCCACCGGTGCCGCGTGCCGCCTTGAGCGCTCCCGTTCCATCCCGACAGCTGACCCCAGAGATTCCACCCACCGCCGCCTCCTTGGCCCGCTTGTGCGTCCGCTTGAAGTTCTCAAACGCAAACACCCGCTCGTAGTCCGCGGGCGTGCCCTCCCGCGGGTCCCAGGGGCTTGAGCGCAGGCTCTTGAGGCCGCGGTAGCGCGCGAAGCGCTCGCGCGCCGGCTTGTCATCCGGGACGTCCACCTCATCGGGGAAGTCCACGTCGTCGGCCTCGGCCTGGGGCGGCGGTTGGCGGCAGTTGGCGGCGGTTGGCGGCAGTTGCGAGGTGGTTCGGGCCGGCAGGGGTGGGTCAGGGATGGTCCTGGCGGCAGGGGCGGTGTGAGGCGAACTCAGGGGCACATCGGCCTCTGGTGTAGTCTACACGATGTGCAGCAGCAGCCGGGGCCCCGGCTGCCAGTGAACAAAGGTGGCATGGCCCCTGCAGGCCGAGCAGCACGAGCCTACGTCCGCCCCAGCCCGCCCCTGCGCCGCTGCAAACGGCCCGAGTCCGCCCCCGCACCTGCCGCTGCCGCCGCATCTCCTCCTTGAGCGCCCGCACCCGCGCCGCCGCCGCCGCGCCGCCGCCCTCCTCCTCGTCCTCCTCCTCCTCGTCCAGCGCCATCCCGTCCGTCCCCGGATCATCAACCGCCAAATGATCCAGGTCAGCGCCGGCCCCCTCCTCATCAAACCTCAGACCGCCGCCGCCGCCCCCGCCGCCGCCGCCCCCGCTGCCACCCGCCGCCGGACCCTCGTCCATGCCGTCCCCATCCCTGTCACCGGCCCCCGCCGCGCCGGCGCCCCCCGCCTCCTCGTCTTCCTCGTCGTCCGACTCCCCGCCGCTCATGTCGTCGAAGATCCAGGCGGCCTGGTAGTCTGACGTCCCGGGAGGCAGCTTCCGCCGCTTCTGGGCGCGCGCGGCCGCCGCGGCCGCCAGCTCAGCTTCCCTCAGCTCCTCATCCGTCGGCCACGTCTGCTCCCCCATCAGAGGGTCCGGCGCGTTCTCGCGCGCGGCCGAGTCCTGCAGCTCGGGGTCTGGCGCCGCGAGCACCGGCAGCGCGCCAGCGCCGCCGCCGGCGTCGGCCATGTCGCTGTCGCCGCCGTTGGGCGCCGCGCGCGCGCCGTGGCCGTGGCCGTGAGCGGCAGGGTCTGGCGGGCCCTCGATGGCGAGAAGCTGGAAGTCGCCCGCGCCAGGCACCGTCACCAGGTTGTTGGCCGACAGCCCCGCGCCGCGCACGTAGCCGGTCAGCCGCAGCGTGCCCGCTGGCTGCTGCTGCTGCTGCTGCTGCTGCTGCTCCTGCTGCTGCTGCTGCTGCTGCTGCCCGTCGGCGGCATTGCCGGCCGGGTCGAGGCTGAACGCCGCCTCCTGCACCAGCACCGCCGCCCGCTGCCGCCGCCACACCGGCGGCTGCGGCGCCGCGTCCGCCAGGTGGCGCAGCAGCTGCTGCGCGTCCGCGGCGCCGTCGCCGTGCAGCAGGCGCAGCTCCCCGGGCAGCTGCGCGGCGAGCGCTTTCTCCGCGCGCCGGCGCGCCGCTGACCGCTCCTTCATGCTCGCCGCGGCCGCGCCGCCGCCGCCGCCGCCGCCGTCGGCGCCGCACAGCACAACGCCGACGCAGTGGGGCATGCCTAGAGCGCGTAGCACGGACAGCGCCAGCTCGCCCTCCCGGTCAATCACCAGCGACCCCTCGCCGCACGGCAGCGCGAGCAGCAGCACGTCCGCGCAGCGCCCGAGCTGCACGTACGCGAGCGGGTCCCCTCTGTCGCGCGGCGGCGGGAGCAGCGTCAGCCGCAGGCGGGTGCGGCCCTGCACCACGGCGGTGTGGGGCCGGAAGCCAAGCGCAGCGGCGAGCTGGTCGGGGCTCGAAATGTTGAGAGCCAGCGCGGCGTCGGCATCCGCCATGGCGTCATCGCCGCCGTTGCCTTGTGCTTGCTGCTGCTGCTGCTGCCTGCCGTGCTGCTGCGCCGCGCCCCCACTGCATGCCTCGTGCAGGCGGCGCCAGAGCGCCCCCGCGTCGGCCTCTGATGACAGCGGCAGCAGCGCGACCACTAGGGGGGCGCCCTCGCGGCGGCGGCGCTCCAGGGCCTGCTGGCGCTTGGCGTCCCTTAGGGCGGGGTGCAGGGCAGTGCACATGCAGCGGAAGGGGGTCAGTTGGCGCGTTCGACCAGGCGGGGTACTCAGGGGCGGGCGCAAGAATGGCGATCTGCAAGCTCAATTGGCCGCCACGTCTGGATTGTGGCCCACTCCGCTGCTGGAAGGGACCGAATAGAGGCCAGTGCAGCAAAGCGGCATTCCAGGCGTTGGCGGTCACGCCCCTGAAGCACCTCTGCTGTTTGGAGGCGAGGGCACGCTCGGCCTTGGTGGACGCACTCGCGGCCTTGATGGGCTGCCTGTGGCGGCCGCTACCCGCGTCCTTCTTCTCATGATGTTTCTCGCGGGCGCTCTTGCCGGCGGTGCGACCAGCCTTGTGCGCCTGCAACAGTGGCGGCAGGAGCGGCGGCGGCGCACGGGGCGGCGGCCGGCGAGGGCTATGAACGTAGCTTCGCTTCCAGGAGGTTTTCAAAAATTCTGAACGCGACATGCAAGAAACAATCAACGCATTTACGTGCGTCGGCAAGGCGCAGCAAAGATCGCCACACTCGCCCACCTTGTTTTTTTGCCCGTGGGCGCTGGGGCCACCCATAGTGAATACTTGATTGTCTTCCAACCAACGAGCGACCTTTATTCACACGACAAGTAGTAATATTGAAGATGTGTGTGTGCCTCTGTATATGCAGCGCTTTGTACGTGGTGCTTTCTATACAGTGCAGGTGTAACATTTCAATAAAGCGTGAAGAGACGTTGGATACGCTGCGATTCGAGCAGGTGCCGAAAGTCCCGGAGGCGCCCGCAGACTTCGCAGTCCAAGAACTCAAGCTGGCTTGCAGGGTCTGTAGTTACGCATTAAAATTTCAACCATCTACAATCAGGAAAACCTTCATTCTGTTCCAGCCTTTCAGCTGTGTGTAGACAGCTATGTCCTCCAGATTCATGTGAGACGTCATAACAACATCGATTACATCATAATATATATTCAAGCTGTTTTGTAGGACCCTGAGCCTCTCCAGCGCCCCCACGCCAGGAAACTGGGGCACGGCAGCCCTCAAAAGCACAAAACAGCAGAGAGACGCTGCAGGCACGCTTAACACGGGTTTACTAGGCCTTAAAAACTTCAGACGTCCTGCATAGTGTGCTGCTGACAGGCAACCGAGGTGCTAGCTGCAGCGCTAGCGTCCATGGCTGCACGCCACCTGTGCAGCCTCGATGGGCTGCGAGGCAAGCTCGCCCTGCTGGAAGCCCAAGCAGGCCTGCTTTCCGACGAGTGGGAGGCAACAACGTCAGACAACGGCTGCAGCTCCCCACTGATCAAGGCGGTTCACAGCGCGCCGCCACCGCCGCGGCCGCGGTCGCCGTCATTGGCCGCGGCCGGCGTCATTTCTGACCTCAAGGCCCACCTGGAGGCGGTCCTGGACGCGGACCGCGCCGGCGACGACCTGATATCATCCATCACCCAGCAGCACTGCATCGCGTGCGCCGTGAGAGTCATCCAGGACGCGGAGGACGGGTCCCTGGAGGACTGCTCGGTGGGTTCCCGGTCGCAGCGCTGTGTGTATGTCGTTTGAGGCTTGCCGTGAGCAGGGGCGCAGCGGCGGCCCCGTATTGCTGTTTGGTTGCTTCCAGTGAAGAGGCTGGGCGCAGGCTGTGCGGCCGGCGCGAGGCGCATCCAAGGGGGCTGTAGCAGGGGATGAAGCTGCGCCCTTCGCTGCAGGAACAGCCTTATCCACGCACATTGCATGTCCAGCCTCCCCCCCCCTCACCCCTGTGCCCCCTCTTTGACCGCTTCACGTTGCAGGCCGCACGCAGTGCGCTTGAGCTGGCGTCCTCTGCCCTCTGCACGCTGTCCCAGCGCCCGCCTACCCATGAGCTGCTGCTGTCCGCCGGCGCCGTCCCTGCGCTGGTGTCGCTGCTGGCGCCCGGTGCCTACCCGACTTGCGCCACCACCAAT